GCCCATTCGAGTCTAAGCATAGATCAACAATAAAGTATAAATATGTTCCTTGAAGTGAAAGTAGTTACACGTGAACGTTCCGTAAAGTTAGCTCATCCCAAAAGCATCCGCGTGATAGCCATACGTAGTCAAGTCCTTTGAAAAACAAAAAAATTTACATAACAACGCTGATTTACCTCAACGCTTCTGCGCAGTCTGCGGGGAACATGGAGCGCGACATTTTGTAATCACATTGTATTTGATACTTTATTTTCAGTAACATAAAGTCCAAGATAGTTTGAATGGAAGCCACGAGACATATACAACTTCACGTTGCTCTTTGAAGCTTGCAAGGGTCTTAATGAAGTGTCTCTAAACATATTGTCATATCGAATTGACTAATACCTTTGCCTGAAGATAAGGGATGATATCAAAAACCATTATTAAAGGACCAGGGCCGGCAATCGTCGAATGTCTCTATCGCCTGATAGTAGTATGTAACTATAGCCGTCTATTCACATCCGCAACACCAAAAGAGTTACAAGTACGTTGCCAGCCTTTAAATCTCACTCACACTACGAAACATGCAATAATTCTCAACAAGTTTTAGGTGAAGTATTAAGTATTACTAAGTTAAGCAAAATGTATTAAACTATTGAGTTTGAACTTATTTCGTGGTTACCTACGGGAACTAAGTTCTCTACGAAAATCATAGACTATGAAAATAAACAAAATACATTGTGCTCGTTATGTAAACAGGACTTAACTATGAACGTTTCTGTGTGAGTACCTACTGCAATAGAAAGATCTCAAGAATACTTTAAATTCTCAGCAAAATGAAATTCTAGACATCTTGAAACAACGAGCACATGCATTTTAATGATACAAAACAAGTAACTAAGTACCTAGTACTACACATTATACCTGCATAACAGTTTTCAGAAAATACGGGAAACATCGCTGTGACTTAAAATATTGAAACATTTGCGAATAATATTTAATTGCAAGCTTCCCATGTAATGTAAGTGGGAAGTTGAAATACTGTAATTTAGGTTTGCAAATAGAGATCATTTTGGTATTAAACGTGAGGACAAAACGGTCTCAAAACAAGTAGAGGTGGGTATTACTCTCCGCTTATTTTCAGGTTGTTATGGCTGGGTGGATGTAGTCTACGTCTGTTGAAATATCATCCCCGTGTGTGTGGGCAGCGTGGTAGACTAAACAAGTTACGTGAGAGACATCTTTCTAGACAAATATAAAAGTACTAAATAATGTTTTGAAAACATTGAATCAGATCGTATTAATAGGTGAGTATTTATTAATTAAACTCATAAACATAGCTACTGCAATCCTACAAAATAGAAATCAATTTCTGTATGGCAAGTAGTGAACGTCTGTACATATGTACACTGTACATACAACGTTATAGCACAAGCGTAAAGCGATGTTAGGTACGGTTCTAATTCAAGTGTACAGGGTACTCATGACGAAATCGCAATTCATTCTAAGCATTTACGTTTGTTTCAATACGAAGGTCAACTGGTAATATGGTACTAGTACTAAGCTTAAGCATTTCACATTGACAATGGCATTTGTATTGCTCTCATTGGGAAATTCATATAGGAAATACCATTACACGGACGCCATCCCTAACTTAATGTAGGTGCTTACGTAACACATCTACAAGCTTTTCGTAGCCACGTTAAATCCCTGCAAGACTTTAAAGGCAAAGAAAATATGCAATAAAACCATTTTATATGAGCAGTATTAGACAAAGAAAGTAAAATAAACAAGAGAGTCGAATTGAAACAGTTTAGTGGAAGTCATAAAACTGTGAGATAAACACACGCTGATGCTGTATGAAAGATAACACAGGATTTGCCCCTGCACCTTGGAAACTCTCGCTTCTTCAAGAACATGGTGGGCGTAGTAACTGATCCCATCACGCCATGATGAAGCTAGAGTTGGCAGGGCTCTGGAAGACTTTGGGCCACCCAATAGTGAACATTGATAACAGCACCAGAAGTTGGTTCACTAAAGGGATGGTTCTGAAAAGGAATCTGGAGCCAGCTGCCAACTAGATCAACAACATGTTCAAGAAGGAGTTCTGCAGACAGTATTACAAAACTCACTGATGATCCGCTCGGTGGGCGGATACCCCAGTGTTGTTTCCACAATTCGCCCTGAGGGCAACGCAAGACACACTCAGCTTAGGACTGAGTGTCCTGAAGAGCCTTTTAAGGAACCCTCGCTTTTTGCTTTAGAACAGGAGTGTAACAGCTATATTTGGTTTGCAAGCGGATGAGGAAGAAGGACGTCTGAAGAGAGATCTGCTTGCTACAGAAGCAGTCAACCCCAAGCTCCTATGCAAGTTGTGGCAACTCTCTAATACAGGTGTCCGAGAGAAAGTTATAGGGAAGTTCGCCACTGCCAGGTCTATCCAGAGCACTTCCTTGGGAACCTGAATAGATGAGAAGGCAGATCAGGGCAGGAGGTCGATGTTGGCTGTATCTGCTTGCTTTAATATGCTCGGACCAATAACCCGATTACTTATCCGGCCCTGTTGTCCGGTTCAGACAAGCGTAACTGAGACGTGAGGATGGAGGAGGGTGATTTCCCTGGAAACGCTTCACACTTTCTGGGCGTGGGAGTATCGCCGGATTGTCTTTACAAAAAAAAAAAAAAAACAAAACAGGTTCGACTACCTGACCTCTAACGCACGACTCTTTTTAAAAATGTGTTATTAAACTTAAGCCGCAGATAATTTGCATACGTAATGTGCAGCCGCTCGGTCTTAAACCCGATGCATTTTTGAGTCAATGTGCCAATGACAACAGCAAGTGCATACTCAATGACAATAAACTGTAGCAAGCAACGAATATTTACGTCAAGTTTTCATCATTTGTGCAAATATTAGCAATGTCAAGTTGTATGGAGTTTGTTTATAGTTAAGTAAACATAGCATCAACTTAAAGGATAAATGCTGAAATAAGTAGAACCCGACTCGCAAATCGCTTAGGCAAAAAGTCAAACATGGCAGAAATCTATGAACAAGAGCAACCTAATATGCACATATCACAATTCTGAATAATAAATTCTAAATGGAAATCATGAACCAAAATTGACAATTTACAGTTTGAGAGTTTTAATACTTACTAGGTATTTAATAAGTTTGCTACAAAAATCTGTGATTGTCGAATGTACAAGATGAAATGGATAATTGAGCAATTTTGATGACCATCAATGAGAATTGACCAACTAGCCAACTACTGCCACCACATAACATTATGTTTATGTTTGTATAAAAATATGAACTTAATGTCTTAAATTACGAATAAACGATTATAAACTAAATACAAAATCACTGATAATATAGTTCGTGGTGCAGACGGTAGGTGGTGCGTCTGTCGCTCAGATAACCGCTCAGCTTATGTGAAAGCCGCGAAGCGTTCAAACATTTATACATTCGCTTTGTAACATCACTAGCGGGGAAGCAAGCACTTAAAACTATATTGGCATTTCTCAATAGGTACAATAATATGAACAGGTATGTTCAGTAAACAAAATTAATACTAGAATTGTTAAAATTTACAGGCAGTGTAAGGCTGGGCGCTCACGACTGGCTCACTCCAGCATTGTGTTCCACATATAACAGACTCACAGGTGTGGTCCACACCCAACTGAGTTGGTGAAGTTGCCACAACAAAACAAGCTATTTATCTTGATATTAAGACATATGTTTCGGATAGTGATACAAATACACCAATAATATAGATAATAATTGTTGATTAAATAAAGTAAAAGAAAAATGTAGGTACTTGTACTTTTTTGTGAAAATAAGGCTAACTACAATCTAAATAATAGCGCTAAGATTATTGAATTAACTGTCCAGTCGAACACATTGCAGAAGTAAACTAGTGTGCCTACACCCAGACCAAACAGAAATTGTCAAAATAAAATATTATAATATAAAATTTATATAGTTTTCAGTTACATTTAAAGCAATTTAACACTAAATTATTCAGCCTTATGTACATGCGATGTAAATACGGATTAAGTAAATATATACGAACTTAAATGCATTTTGTGGCATTCTAAATTAGTTAAGTACTTCAGTTCAATCACATTTTTGAGGTTCGGCATAAACAAGCTTTGAGTACATTACAGTAATAGTATCAACATTGATGTGCCACCACACACAACCACAGCTCACAATAACATCACAAATGTTATCAATGTTAATACTATTAAACAAAGTATGAAACACACTCTAAAGCACATCTATACTTTTTTTTCATTAAAAATCTCATGAATATACAGATAATATTCCTCGAAAAGAGTACAGAAAAATTGGCTAACTACAATTTCGATATATCTTAAAATTACAAAAATCCTTTACTTTTCTGACTATGATGGTGTAAAGAAACTTATTAAAATAAGCTTCGTAAGCACATAGAGAAGTTATCAAATTGTATAAGTACAAAAAATATTAAAAAGATAATAAAGTAAACAAACATCAGTCTAAACAAGTAATGTTGTCATGTCTGTCAGCTAATTAACTAAAATTATTATTTATCACCATACTTTATATTTTTTTAGTATCTAATTTTAATCAGTGAGATATAAATCAATTTCAGAAAAATAAACAAAAAATTCAATTTCGTTGTATATAAGTAACTATACAATGGTATTCATAAAGCTGTTAAGTGTCAGTTTCTTTAAATTAGGCCGGCAAGTCAATAGCTGTCACTCAAGCATTATAACTAAAAAATACAACAGTTTAATAAAAAAACAATATAAAGAAATATAAACAGCTGCATAATATAGTGTCATAGATAATTTCCTTAACATCACTATGAAAAGAAGTCCTTTTACCCCTATAACTAAACTCTATGGCAGTTTTTTAGAAAAATATACAAAATGCATCATTTTATACTTAAGATCACTGTTGCTTGTTGTTGCACTTCGAGATCAAATCCACTCAATTGCGGGGCATCAGCCGCACACTAGCACAATGTCACTTACACCAGGAACCCATATGGGCCACTACCACGGATTTGAGCGCGCATGCTCTGCACGCTGTTCATTATCTTCTTCTGGTGGCCTACGAGCGTGACGCCGAGCGAGGCCAACTGGTGCACTGTCAGGTCTACCACAGCATCCATGTCCAGGATGCCCGCCGCGCGGAACTTTTCAATATACCGCGACATTTTAATACACTCTAACCACTCCTCTACTGATGAGAACTGGATCAAGTCAGGAGTGTCACCAGCTAATGGGTCTGCAGACCGATTCTGTGCGATTTTTCTCAATGTATCAGGACAGCGGATCAGCTTATCTAAAGTTTTCACTATGCTCGCGAATGAAGGACGGTGGGTACGCTCTTTCTGCCAACAATCAAGCATCAATTGGTAAACTGCCTCTGGGCAGTCCATTGGAGCGGGTAGTCTGTATCCTTTCTCTATGGACTTAATTACATCTTGGTTGCTCCAGTTCCAATAGGGACGTTCACCAAAGCTCATTACTTCCCAGCATACAATGCCCATAGACCAAACGTCACTGGCTGAGGTGAACTTTCTGAAAGCAATTGCTTCAGGTGCAGTCCATCGTACGGGGATTTTTCCGCCGCGCGTTGTATATGCGCCATCTGCGGTAGACTCAATTTCTCGTGACAGTCCAAAGTCAGCAATTTTACACACGAGCTGCGAATTTACAAGCACATTACGAGCAGCCAGATCACGATGAATATAATTCATTTCTGAAAGGTACTGCATACCAGTCGCAATGCCACGTAGCATTCCAACTAATTGAACAACTCGGAATTTTCCATCATTAGCTCTCAAGAACGTGTCTAAAGAGCCGTTTTCCATAAACTCTGTTATGATCATGATGGGATTACATTTAGTGACTACACCTTGTAAGAAAATTACATTTGGATGTTCGAATTGGCCCATTATTGACGCTTCAGCAAGAAAATCACGCCTCGCACGTTCTGTAGAGCCCGGTTTTAAGGTTTTAATGGCAACATCGATCTCTTGACCACAACTTGCTGGTAATTTAAGTTTCCCTCGGCAGACATCTCCAAATTCGCCGCCCCCTATAATTGCTTCTATAGTGATACAAGAAGCGTCAATTTCGCGAGCAAATTCCCGGACTGCTTGATTAGGGTCTTCATAAGTGTGGGGATCAATGTAAGTTCTGGAGCCTGTCCCAGCAAACAATGGTGTTGTCGCGTTACTGCTGGTCTTTGCAGGACGCTCAGGGCCAGTGTACACTTCTCCATTTCGATAGTTAAGTGCATTACAGTCACTGGGTTGTTTTTTGTCACATTCATCATCTGTTCTTGAACGTAGAAATAGAACAGTAGCAATGATCGCAACCACTGACAGTACAACAACTGCAACCATCACACCTGCTACTAATCGCACTTGCGCCCCTTCCTCTTCACCTACAAATGTTGTTTCTAGGACAGACCCTGTGCGTGCATACACTATACCACTGAATTCACCCCAACCACGCTTCATTTTTGCTCTGACTCGAATTCCATACTCAGTATCTCTTTTCAGACCAGTTATTATGACATGAGGTTCTTTAGAAATTTTTAGGGTGGCATTTGCACTTTTCTCCATGTTGTCTTTGGGAAAACACTTAACTTCATAGCTTTCTATTGTATCATCAGGATCAGTGAGATCTATTGGTGGGGGGTTCCATGCTAAAGACAGCTTGTCACTTTCTACACTCAGGATGCGTAATTTAGAGACAACACTAACAACTGAAGCTTCAGTTACAGCAGTTATTTCAACTTTCTTAGGTTCTTCTCCAGTTTGCTCAGTCACCCCATTCTCAGCATATACTTGAAATTTGTATTCAGTAACAGGGTCCAATCCCATTACAGTAACTCTGGTGTTGTTTAAACCGGTAGCAGCCGGCCTATACTCAATGTTGGGGCCACAGTTAGAACAAAATACTCTGTATGTTATATCATTACGTCCCCCTGTTTTATGAGGTGGTTGCCATGCTAGTGAAATAGAGAACTGATCAGCAAATGTGACTGTAAGATTGACTGGTGCTGAAGGTGGTTGGGTACAGGGAACATTTTTAGGGTCCTTTTTGGCTCTATAAAAACCTGGTACACATTTGCACTCAGCAGCTGCATAAACTGTTGATTCCGAGTAATCTGGGCAAGTTATGCAGGGGTCATCACCAGTGTGAGATTTAAATTTTCCTGGTGCACATTCATTGCACACTTGATTGTTAAGATCAGGTTCAAACCCAGCACGACATTTGCATGAGCCACTAGGCAAAGTCCACTTGCCATCACCTTTGCATAGATAAACTGGAGGAACCTCACCTGGTGCTATCTCTGCATTCTCCACACAAGTGCCATTGGCCTGTTCAATGACTGTGACCTCTCTGCCAGTTGGTGTGGCTGGGAACCTAGCAAAGTTAACTGTAACTTCTGGACAAGTGATGTAGTAGACTTTTACTGCCAATATTGATATACATGCGCCCTGGTCTCGGAAGGCGAAATAGACGCCCCTTTTAGTGACTGCAATGCTTTTCACCTCTGTGTTGATATCAACTTCCGAATTAGTATTGAAACGACCCTCACCTGCAGCTATTCTACCTACTAGCTTGTAGCTCTCTGGCTCCCAGGGAGGCTGCTCTCGCGTGGCGACATCGAACTCGTAATACAATAAACTAAAGGTTTCTTTGCAGCTTAGTGCATTACCAGGGAACAATGAGCAATCTCTTATAGTGAACTTGATTTCAATATAAATACGATTAGCATTCCTGCGTTCGATGAATGGCGTCCAGAGCCAGTTGTTAACGTTGTGATGCGCGACGTCACATACCACGTACGATCGCCAGTTGATCTGTTTTTCGAAGTTAGTGTAAGACTCCTCGAGCCAGCCGGGGGTACTCGCTTGAGCGCCGTAAGGGAAGCGCGTCCAGCCAAGAGTTGCTTCGGTGGTGGTATCGAGAAGCAGTACCTGCTCGGCTCGCGCATTCAGCGCCGTCACCACCGCGGCCGCCGCCACCACTAACGACCACATCATCTCTTCCGCATAATAACACAATTACGCCCAAACAACGCTGATACGCCACTGTCCACACCCAATTTTAATTTCTTTCTACATAATGTACACTACAGTTTTCACTTTAAGTTCAACACTTCACTTTGTAGATAAAGGATGGCTCAGTCATTTTCTCTTTGCTGCTATGTATTCAAAGTAGTCTGGGAGCAATCACTATTTCACTGTCACAATGTAGTCAAAGATTAGCACAAAGTCTGTAATTCATACAATACGCGATATTTAAGCACAAATAACATTATTTTATGTGAGGATTCCGCATTTTTAATTTATATTGATCTCGTATTACACAGATGAGACCACTCACTTGACATGGACGCGCAGCAGTTTTGTGTGTTGCCGTACCCGAAAAATAACAACAAAATTGCATTTTAGAAAGTAAACCATAAGGTAAAAAAGTGTTTTTCACAATGTAGTCATAGAGAATATTCATAGTGAATTTTATTGTCTATGGTAACTTTGTGTCTTGTCCTTTTTTATTATGTTAATAAAATTTATTGTAACATTATAAATTCAATAAAGTATTTTTGTGTAAGTGTTGATTGTTTACAAAAATATTTTTTATTAAATATTAGGGCAGATGTATATTGCAACAAAAAATAAGAATGATTTAGGTGGCGCTAGCGTTGATTTTGGTCCCATTATCGTCTTTTTAATTTGATTTCGTTATATAAAGCACCTTTGCAAAATTTAAATTCAAATAATGACATACATACAATAATAAAACAATGAAACAATGAATTTATTATTGCAAATAGTCACTATTACACGTCATAGTTTATGTAAAAACAAGATGGAGCCGGTATTTTCTATCTAACTACTCTGAAAAGAAAAACCGAAACAAACTCAGAGGTCACTCTTTTTTCAAGGTTCAGACAATGTAAAAATAATATAATGAGAGAGAACCTAGCAAGTTCATCAAGACTTTATAATTACTAGAAATTTTTTACATAAATATTATTAACATTAATTATTTAAAAATAAATTATAGTATTGAAAATAAAAGTCATGCTTTGACGCCACAGACATATATAGCCGTAGCAGACAAAACATAGCTCATAAATTGTGAACCGAATACACATAAATTTAAAATAAATCTCACAACAATGTCGGTCTAAGGTCGATAGTAGCAAACGTAAGTAAGTAAACGTATTGCTTATATTCTAATTGGGTAGTAGAGAAATAGACGTTAAGGTACCGAATGTTAATGTTATGAAGTGTAAGTGAGAGTATTGGATGCTTAATTCACTCCATATTTTCCAAAGGCCTTGCATTATATTACACTTAATCCCATGCAAAAAGCCCATGCACATGAAGAGATCCGTCCAAATCCGACACGGCAGCTTCGGTTTCGTATCCGGTGGGAAGAAATGTCCGGGTATCGACATTGTGAGCACAACCCGGAGGTCACAGTGGAGCTTGAACTGAGCATCGCCGTTTCCTCAGGGAAGTGAAAAGAGGCGGCGACCTCTCGCGTCCGGCCTTAGTCTAGGCTATGGTGCGGAGTGAAAGGAACTGGGAATCCGTCTCTTCTCGCAAAGAAGAGGAGGAGAAGACGAGAGTATCAAACTCTAATTTACAGACTAAAAACTACCCTACCTTTTCCTTCACCTGCTCCTACCTAGACCGCAGTCAAGAGATAGTCTGATGCCGGAACGCATAATAAAACCGTACCCAAAGTATTGGGTCGGCTCCACCGGAGTGATACCACGGCCTCACCGGCAGAAGACCGGCGAAGGTTACCGGAGGCCCAATCCTTCCCCGCCCCCAATCCCCAAATCTCCAAATCCTTAATCCCTAAAAGGTCAAGGTAAAGGCTAAAAGGTCGGCAACGCACTCGTAACTCCTCCGTTGCGGGTGTCCATGGGCGGCGCTGATTGCTTACCATCAGGTAATCCGTCTGCTCGTTTGCCGACCTATTACATGAAAAAAGCTTTTTCAGTTTTAGCAGAAGAGAAGGAGGAAATATGAACTAAACGCCTTCAAAATATATTTACTGCTTAACTTAATCAATACTTACTTATAGTACGCATTCATGAAGTTAAAGTAAAGCTTAAGAGTCAAACAATTACATTCAATTAATTTACTATAATTTGAAAGGTAAAGCACGTCATGACGTCGTTATAATATCACTACCTATACCTATACTAGCTACTCTCGCGCGGTTTTACCCGCTGCTCAGCTCCATTTAATCATAGCGTGATGTTCATAGCCTATAGCACTCAGGAACATTGTAGCTACCTATTAGTGAAAGAATTTTGGCAATCCGACCAGAGGTTCCAAAGATTTCCCCTACATACAAACTTACAAACATACAAACTTCCAAATTTTACCCCTTTATAATATTAGTGTACATAATCAACCCCATAACTATATAAAAATCATAGAAAATTCGATAGCTATCGAAAAACTATAAATTTTAAAACTAATTATTTTGACAAGATAGGTCCTCACGAAGTTCTTACCCAATTTAAGTGTTTACCTACCTAATTACTATAATTCCTGCAAAATGATAAGGTCACTATTTGCCAGTGAATGTATAATTAAGAACTGGGGCACTGGTTTTTATTTTCTGCTGCCACTTGATGTGGGATTCATATATACGCGTTTCAAATAATAATGGTTATATAAGCTTTTTTAAGATATATGTATACCTGCTTAGCCGTAGTAATTCGGTAATCACTACGTACTCTAGCTAACCTAGCTCCTAATATAAGCGATCAGTAAATAAGTAGGGTAGGTACATTATATTTTTTGGCAGATGACTTGATGACAGAAAGTAATTTTGTATTTATGCTTGTTGTTTGAGCTTGCATATTTTACCAAAATGAGGTAGTGAGTATTTCGTGTGAGCTAAGAATATAAAAGCTAAGAAGGTACTCATCATTTGAGGGAAATCAAAATGGACATTGTTTGTCATAAACAAGTTTTAATGTTTTTTTTCGAAGAACATTTTTGCGAAATTTAAGTTTGAATTTAATTTGATTGGTGATTTATTTGCATACAGTTTCAGTTATTTGATAAGTCTGGATTAAGTGGCAGTGGGTTCAGCAGAGTCGGGTGAGATGGTGCGATATCGGTTGCTCAGCTGGTGGTCAGGATTCGCAGGATAATCTGAATGTTGATGGCCGGTTCATTTCTGAAAACAGTCACAAAACGTTGTTCTTACTATATCTCGTTTTCTTTGTAATATTCATAATGTAACCGTTATGGTTTGATTTGTTTTTTTTTGTGTGAAATAATGTTATTTATTAATGTTGGGTTTTGTGAGTTAACGGACGCCAGTGAATGAAAATATAAGGTGGAGAATCTGAGAGTTCATGTTCGGCTTGACTTTTTAGTAGTTTATATCAGTCACCTTTTTCTTTCGACGTCAGCAGATGTGAAAAGGTGCTCTTCGCTCTCCGCTGGGAGATGAGTAAAAGTGCCGTAACTGCCGTTGCCAGCACTGCTGCGACTGCCTCTGACGTGCCCCTACAGCTCCACCACTCTCATTAATATGAAAATTATAAAAAAACTGATGTTATTACCTAACTAAAGTGGTACCTACCCATGCATTATTTATTAAGGTAACTTATAAATTTAACAAATAAAGGCACCATGACGTCACAGTTTACACTTATCTTACCTATACAAAAATATTACAGATTTAGATTAGTTTTGTTCATAGTTTTGTAGATACTACCATTAAATATTCGTAATCATTAGTAAAACAGATAACTGATACATATAATTTCTTAGTTAATGTAGTGTGTAAGCATAGATCTAAATTAGAAGTCCGTTGACATCACATAGGGCTCAGAATAAATTGATATAATAATTGAAACGGATCTAGAAAATTACGTCGTATCAACTTATTGGCTGGGATGGTGGGTCTGCCGCCGCCATTGTCTTCGCTGCGCCGCAGGTCGCATCTTCGCATCGTGTGAAAAACAGAGCGACTTATTGGCGGAAATGCAGTTAGTCTGTTCGAGATGAGGCACAGACTCCTACATGTCCGCCTATAAGTAAATGAACGCTTAAGTTTTGTATTGATGCGGCGCCACCTCCTCCATCAACGGAAGTGCTCGTCAGGAAGATGAAGAGCTAGTCAATTGGGACTTGTGTTGACACTAAAGAGATCGTACAACTTTTAGTGTCAGCAGCGAGTCGAAAATCGACTAGCAAATAGCCTCACGCCAGTCGGACCTAGGCAGGTAAGTAAGTACAATGCTGTGGAGTGGGAATTTGTAGCAACTGGTCATGGGGGTACCGACCTGCTTCATCTGAGAACTGGTGATCAGGACGCAGGGCTGCAGTGTTCGTGGCCCAGGGACTCTCGTCAACATGGAAAATATAAAAATTCATGTACAAGCGGCACAAACTGCATTGTAATGAAATATTTCATCCCTTCCTCATACATTGGTCTCTTTGTCTTCATTTAAAATTAAGACGAGTTAGACCTGTCTAATCATCTCACTTACAAAAATCTAGGTACTTACTGTGTATCAGATGAAGGGGGCGACTATTTCTTACTTTATCGTAAGTCGACTGCTTTAATGACTTGACTGTTTTATATGAGCCTTCACTTACCTGCACTCCTTAGGCGCTGTTCGAAGCTTCATGTCCCTAAATGCAGAGGCATCGTTGAGTTAGCACAACACAAATAAAAGATATCGAGATGTAAGAACTGTGTGACTTGAACAAATAACGACAAAGCCGGCGTAGCCCGGCGATGCAAGTGGGCGCGGGAAGCGGGGCTGGGGGGCGAGGGTCGCAGCTTCGGCCGGGCTCGCGCATGCGTACTGCGCAAAGGCTTCCAACAATCAGGGCGTGACGTTACCTTTCCTTAAAGGCTGCACGTTAGTGCATCCGCCAAGTCCGGATTATACGACACTGGTTTTTTATTTAAGTTTTTTCGCATTCAATGATTTGACTGACTTTGGAATGTAAAATGTATAGGTAATTAGTTATCTATTTACATA